TCATTTTTTTTTAAAGCCCCAAAAGCTACACTTACGCGGTTTGCGCGAGTGAGTTATACACCCAGGGGACATTATAGGGGTGGCTATTCTTTGCGATGTCAGCTAGTTAATTAAAATTCACTGCCTAACTTTTTAATTAGTGAAAATAGACATGTGGTCCAACTGGAAACTTGCTGAGCGTCGTAACCATTACCCCTAAATCATTAATTTTTAGGAAGACTTTGAGCGTGTGTGAAGCGCAGTAGTGTGCTGAAGTTACAACTGGTAAAGCGGGTACAAGGCTGGGGCTAGATAAGGCACGGAAGAATGGACCTTTTTCCAGTAAGGAGCGCCGTCTAGCGGATTCCCCGAAAAGCTCGAACGGAGGGCTGCCCGAAATGGTCTTTCGCCTTTCGCCTGTGTACACGTGTGGTCGATATTTTTGTGCGTGTTCGCGTGCGGTAACGCGGATGATGAACGGTGCCGTCGTTACGTGCGGTACGCTGCTCAGCGTCTGGGGCACCCTGGGCTGGCGCAACGATCTGTCGGATGCGCCTGCTTTTCGAAGGCAGGACATCAGACTGGATTTTAACCGACGTTCGGAGATCTCTGACCGCCAGTTAACGCGGGGGTGGAACTTCCAAGAGGAGAAGTACATTCGAAATGTTCAGTGGCGCCCAAATGATGCCGAGACCGAGGAGGAGACGTGTTTTTTTCGAAGCACATGTGTGCCTTCGATGAAGAAGGGACATTACAACCAAGTCGTAATGATGGAGAGGACACCAGCCCGGGTCGTTCATGCGTGTTGCAGCTGTACAGCTGGGTAAGTTGTCTTATCGCTTCATTCACATACGCGACTGGATTCTGGTGGAGGGGAACTAAGCAATAGGTGTAACAATATGACAAGTTCGCTAGTTTTCTCACCTTCGGCGCAATCGCACTACTTCGTTCCATTCCACTTTACGTACGAGCGGAGCCGAAGCTACAAGCAAGAGCATGTTGCCTGAAACCGTGCTCGCACTCCACGAGCCCGCGTGTAGGTGAGGAACGTAGAGCATAAGGCTGCGCTGTGGCTTTTATTTCTGGCGCAGCTAAAGTGAAACAAAGTACGCGGAATGAAACGAGCAGGACGACGGACGCTCGCGAGTGGCCTGTACCCTGAAAGCTAGGAGCGCGAGCTCGAAGCTCCGGCGGCTGGTCGTGCTACAGGAGAGTTTATGGAGCTAAGGTGCCGAAAAAAAATTTAAATCTCGAGATAAAGGTCGGCGCAGAGGCTTTAAGGTGCCGACATCCTTGGTAAAAGTTGACCTGTTGCAAACATACTAATATTGCATCAATAACAAAAATCGTTTCCTTTAGGTTAGACCCAAATGACTTAAGGTAATGATCTTGCGGTACTGTCAAGTTATGGATTTAGAGCAATGCATGAACAAATCTGACCAGATCTGCCAGCATTGTAAGTGATGGTAATCTGGTGATTACATGTTTTGGTCTCATATTTTATTGCAGTCTCAGCGAAACATGTCAACATGTTGCTGGACTTCTCTATGCTATCGCCGAGCTGAAACAACCATCCTGCACCGACATCCCATGCGAATGGGTAGTGCCGTACAAAGGTAAGAACAATAGACCGTCAATGATCAATATTATTTATTTAATAGATTGAAAATTTTATTCAGTGTTTTCCATGCGCACTTCTCACACCTCCCTATAGCATAATCCTTGCTTATGCAACTACATTTCCCTACTCTCATTTTCATTATATAGGACACAAGCGGGCAGCTCCCGCACCGTTGGAGGAAATCGGGTTTTGGAAGGTTGCAGAACAGAAGTGCAGAAAAGCCCCAAAGCAACGAAAGTCTGGGTCATACAGCTTTTTGCCGAACGACGATGCCCTCAGCGAACTGATTGACTGCATGGAGGCCGAGGACCACGAATTAGCTTGGGTCCAGTATGCAAGACCTGCAGCGAAAGAAAACTTCCAGCCGCTCATACCAGACGACAGAGACCTCTGGAGCAATGATTCTCAAGCGGTGTACTACCGTCACCTCCAGTCTATCAAGGCACTAACCATGGAAGAGAGGGAAGAGGTCAGGATGAACACGATTGGCCAAGCAAACAACGACACCTGGTTTGAAGAAAGGGTGGGGAGGCTAACAGCCTCAGTCTTCAAAAAAGCGGTGCGCTGCCGGAAGCCCGAGTACTTAGTCAGAGGCATACTGTACCCCCAGCCCAGGAAACAGCTGCCTGCCACTGACCCTCGAGAATATGGTAGACGCATGGAGCCCCACGCTGTAGAGATGTATGTGCTGCTGCAAAGGTACTACGACTTTGACACAACAGTTAGGCCTACTGGTCTTCATGTACATAGGGATTATCCTTTCCTCGCAGCGTCGCCTGATGGCATTGTACGCAATGGGGCAGAGGAGGGCCTGCTCGAGGTCAAATGCCCTCCGTCAAAGATTAACATGACTCCTGAAGAAGCATGTGGTGATAAGAAGTTCTGTTCCATGCTTGTAGATAATGTTGTGACCCTCAAGAGGGATCACTCATACTATTACCAAGTGCAGGGGCAGCTCGGAGTGACAGGGTATAGTTGGTGCGACTTTGTTATTTTTACTAACTGTGAGGACTCTTTAGCCAAGAGCATTTCCGTGGAACGTATTTACTTTGACGTAGAGTTCTGGGAGAGCTACCTGCTACCAGGTTTGTTGTATTTCTATACCCGGGCAGTGGTCCCTGAAATGCTGACAAAACGAGTCAAGCGTTTTAACAAGCTGTACTCCGAGGATGCAGAGTACGTTCCCTACACGGTGTACACAATGGGCACGCTGCCACCGTGATGAGTGGCCATGCAAAGTGGAAACTATACTTTTGGCAGGCTAAGAACATACGGCAACAGAAAGGAACGATGGGGAAGAAAAAGCAGACGGATTGCTGGGAAAGATGGGCTTCATCCTCTCCTCTCAAGAGTGGGGTCAGCTTTTTCCTGCCTATTCTTTTTTCGCATCGCCCCATCTTCTTAGCCTGTCACACTATAACCATCATGGCAGCTATGCACTCCGTAATGCAATTTGAAATGTGTGGAGTACTGGCAAAAGCAAAATATTCTTTGTTCTACAGCTTCCTGCTTTGCCTGGTAGGTACACCAGTTTTAATGAGAATAATAATAGGTGGCTGGCATCTATTTTGACAGTTACCATGCATCTTTCATTTCATGTTCAAAAAAGCTTTATACCAATTTGCAAGACTGCTCGATTAACAATAACTGGTTGTACTAGACTGCGAATAATGTTCTAAGCATGTGGTGGTGAAAATATGAAGCTGTGTACAAAAGTCTGAAAGCTGTTTTGCTGATGATGAGCTTTGACTCTCTAGGTTTCTCAAATGTTACTTTTCTTTTTTTTAGTTCAAGTGTGTATATGGTTCCGAATAATGAAACATTTTCTCAAATATTTTTGCTGGTCACTAGTTGACAAATGCCGTGTTGTTTGCAAAACTCTGATAAGGTGTAAGTAGGGTTTGGAGTTTTCGGTTTAAACAGATAAATGTATATGCTGAATCCATTTTAGGAATTTCGGTTCTAAGTGAAAAATGTCAGTTTCTAGGTTTGGATATTTCGGTTCAAAGCGATAAAAACCGGCAAAGGTAAGGCAAATCCATTTTCGGAAATTCGGTTATAACTAAAACATGTCAGTTTCTTAGGGCGGTGCACGGTTTGACATAGTGCGACCTCTTCGTGATCGCCCTTTCTCAAGGTTCAACATGCAACAAAAGAGATCTTAGGTTGTCCTTTGCAGGACCTCTGTGTTCTTTTTGTGACCAGGTTTTGTGTGTCAGGTTCCTGGTCCTCAAAAAGAAAGTTGGGGTGTGGGCTAATATTAGATTTTCCGCTTTATGCACTTTAGAGGAAAGCCGTTATCAATTTTCTTAACACTCTCTCAAACTTCCCTGTGGTTAGGAACCTAAATGCAATGTATATTTTGTTATTCCTCTGGTTCATGTACAGTCATCACCTCAGATGGTCACATCCGTCAGAATGGAAAGGAAAACAAGTGCCCTGCAAGGTTATGCCCCCGAATTTGAGGTGCGTCCTGTCGGAAGTTGTAGTGAAGACCATGTTTCTCTTGTGTGTAATTATTGCCGCACGATGCTAAAGTCAAGTTCCGTGTTTCTTGGGCATAGGTTCATATCTGACTTGTTTGTACTTAGAGTTTTCTTCTTTGTTCTTTTATAGTTGTGCACATTTGCTACATAAAGTGTATTTTTTTTAAGGTATGTGTGCCGTTGTTATTTTAGTGATCACAGATATTAGAGCTACACGGACCACCTGGTCTAGTGTCTCATGGCAATTTTTTCACATTCACCGAAAAAAAAAACAATAAACGTCTGTGGGCATAAATATACACCGAAATAAACCGAATTTTAGAATAAACACAAAAGCAAGTACACTGAATTTTCAAACATTTAAAACCGAAAAAACTCGGAACCCTAGGTATAACTTTGCATTGTTGTGTAATTTGTTAAATGTCTAAAGACCTGATCTTGGCAGGTTTCAATCTTGTTTACACTGAAATTTTGTTTTAAATTTGTACCTTGCTTCACAAATAAAAGGAAATACCGATGAACTGCGTTTGCAATGTCGGGCCTATGACGAGGAGAGCAGCCGGCCACATGTTTGTCAAGCATACCCCTAAATGGTGCAACGAATGCCAAACGAGCGAACCAGGCACAGAGGCGCAGGTTTCTCCTAAGGGTGCTTGTGCAGAATTGATGGAGTTAGACGTTTGACCTAATTTACCATGGGTATGCAGACCATAGTTTTGTTCTCAACTCTGTCTCGTGTACTGGTCTGTCGAGGTACATTATCTGGGATCCATACCTGCATCTTCTGTTTCAACTGCTGAATGTCAAGCTGCAAAGGCGGACGATGCACAAAATAAAAATCGTCTGCTTTTCCAGTTTGGTTTGCATTGTGGTGCCAAGTGTCTGGGCAATTCTGGGAAACATGGCAGTTATCAAATCAAATCAACTTCATTTTCCATCACATGATGGGGGATGCCGACGGAAAAAGCTGCTTATGTGCAGCTTGACGAGCCCTCGGCACCCCTACATGGCAAACAACGCAAAATGAAATAACCAAACAAACGAAAAAGACAATGCATTTTTATACAATGTTAACAAAAACAGATCTGGCAGAACACACCAGCAAACAAACCTATTTACACTGCAGAGTTATTATACATAGCAATTTCGAAGCTCATCCATGGTGAGAGAGTCCAGTTGAATGTCGCAACTAATGAAGCTGTTAAGCAAATGTGGTAAAGTAAATATAGATTAATGTTTGCAGACCATAGTTAGTTCTATGAGGGACTACCTTCCAGTATTTGGCGTGCCATGTTAGATAGCTTACAATGTTTCTATACCCGTTTTCACCAAGAAAAAAGTAAGTTTGGTGAATTGTTCAGATGCGGCGCAAAGTAGTTCTTACGAGATTTGCTTGTCGGGGGAAAATCAATGCTTTTGTCGTTTGGAACGAGTATGTTTTGATAAGATAACACATATAATATAAAGAGGGAAATTAGTAATGCGGCGCGAGCATCCGGACGTTTTTTTTACTTCGGTTTTTGAGATAAAGACGGGCATAGTTAACATCGCAAGAGTAGTCAGCAATTGAGCATTTTGTTTTTGCTCTCTTCTATAACCAGCGGTCACCCTCTAACTGTACAAGTTATATACAGTTATAATAGCGTATTGATGAATCAAAATCTCAAAAACCCCTCTTACAAACAGCTCCCTGACATGACACTAAGTATATACTTATGTGACTTCCAGTGCAAGTTTAAATAAATTTTAAAAAGCTCTGACTGGTAAACCGTGTACGAGAAAAGCTGCGGCCTCATACACAGAGCGTCCGATCTTTGCAGCTCATTTACAAGAAACATTTGGGGGGGAAGGAATAACCTGAATGTTCAATAGCTGTCGTCAACACCACAGTCTGCAATAAGAGGATGCTTAAAGTTACTAAGAAAAGCACATGACTGAAAAACTGCGTCCCCGATGTCTGCCATGTTTACAGGATAACCATCGTCTAGGATATGATACTCCTTGATCCTTCGGATCACGCGTTCTATGTGCACTCTTGCACTAGCAATTTTGCGGGTCTTAGTGACATTCATTTTGCTCATCTGCCCCTCACTAGGCTTATTGAAGGAAGGCATGTAAGCCTTAACACCAGCTGGAAGCAGGTCGAAAACTTTGAACCCCTTGTCCATCATTACTGCGTCCCCCGGTTCCAGCAAGGCAAACAGGCCGCACTCGAGGACCATGTCCCTGTCGCTGACTGAGCCTCCCCATGCTTTGGAGACGAAGCTTACGTAGCCGTTAGGCGTAGCACCAACCAAGACCTTCATGGTGTTCCCATGTTTATATGGTGAAAATGTCTGTCGCTGGGCATCCATCGAAGATGGAGTCTGAATTCTTATTTCTGTGCCGTCAATAACAAGTCTTGTGTCAGGGAAGTCCCTGAAGCACCTTGGTTGGTGCTCGGCAACCTCTGCAAGTGTGGGAAACCTGGTAATTTCGGCCAGTGCTTTTTGGAGAAACAATATCCATTTTGAAAAAATTTTACTAAACTGTGAGATTGACAGACTAAAGTTGCGGGCAACCTCTCTCACCGGCATCCCCGTTCTCAGGCGGACAAGTACCATGAAAAACTCTTCAATGAGTGTCTGGGCGGGTTCAGGTCCTTTTTTTGTTTTCACCATCACCTTCTCCAAATACCTAAATAGCCCATAAAACACGCCACGTGATGGCAAGCCGGTGTAGTACAGGCAGCTGTTGGAGTCTTCGATTATAGCAACATTGAGGCCATCTGCCTTCTTCCTTTCGTACTTGGCCTTCCAAAAGTCTGCCTCTTGTTTGGCTTTTGAGAGGGCAAGTTCAGCTGCCTGGAGCTGGGCCTGGAGCGAACTGTTTTCTTGACTCCCAGACTGCAGTTGAGCTGGAATGTCAGCATGTCCTATGGAAAACAATATTACCCATTAAAATCCTAGCAATACATTTGCATGTTCAGGACATGTCATAACAATTAGTTAATAGGGTAAGCAAACTATGTGTTATTTTAACCACAAAAGTGTGGGTAAACGTTGTAGAGCAGACAACTGTGTCGAACAATATGGAAGGCCTTTATCAAATTGGGGGTTTTACGTGCCAAACCGCATCTGGCACGCCCCAGCGGAGGACTGAGGACCCCAGCGGAGGACATTAATTTGGACCACCTGGGGATCTTTTGACGTGCAACCGAAAGCTCGGTTACACGGCGCCTCCTCCGCAATAAGCCTCAGTCAGATTGCGGGCACCTCGGCAGGGATTCGAACCCGCCACATGGGGATCCGTAGGCCAGTGCTCTCACTGGGAAGGCCTTTACAAAGAAAGGCCAGGGAAATAGAAGCAAAACGCACAAACTATACTCGGCGTCAACTTTTTTGTGCTACGTTGTCACGGCTAGCGTAGCTTCCCCAGTGCTCCAGCCGCCCGCTGCTGCGAGAGCGCGTGACCTTGACTTTTGCACCTTGTTTGCACGCGCTCGCGCAACTAGCTTTGAAAGAGCTGGAGCACTGCCAAAGCTAAGCTAGCTCTGACAGCGTAGCACAAAATAGTTGACGCCGAGTATAGCATTGTCCTTATTTAACTCCCTATATGTCAAATTTGCTGTATGCCTGTTAAAGGAGCCCTGCGATCGTATTTATAGGGGCCCTGCCCGGTTTGGGAGTGGAAACTGCCCCTTATGCACCTCACTGCCGACGCCCATGCTTCCCCCACGGTTGTTAAAGGGTAACTCCACTCAAAAAAATCAATGCTATAGAAATGGCGGATATCGCTTTAGGGGGTCAAAATACGATCATACCCAAAATATCACGTCAAATTGACGCCACATTCCCAATTAAACCAATATTAAAAATGTTCTACCGGCTGGGTTAGCGGCCCGACAGCGGGTGAGCAACGCTGGCCCCGGGTGAGCTAGTGCAGCAACAGTGGATAATGACGTAGGTTTCGTCCTATGCTCTTGTGCGGATGCCACGGAGGCTTCGTTTCCCGTGGCATTCTGCGATTCTACTGACAGCAAGAGGTGCTTATCGCCTTATCCTATGTTCTCCTATTTTTATTTATGTCTGGCAGTTCATTTAAAAGGATGCTCAACCGATATCTGAAGTTGCCAAAATAAGCACCGGACAAGCTTCCCGGGATCGCACCATACCTAGAACTACTATTCATGTAAAGGGATGGAGATCGGATTATTACATTTCTTGGAATGACGAGCGCCGATTGAGCCACAAGCGCCAGAAGCCTCCGACGCGCGAGGCCCTCTGGGATTACTCGCAACGGAACTGACGTGAACATTTCGAGCTGCCGACGCGCCACAGCGTGGAAGAAAGTTGCGCTTTGAACAATAGTAGACGAATGCCCGTCGCGTTGGAAGTTTGCTAACTAATCCAGCCAAGTTAGCTGCACACTACCTGCCAACCACCCCCTGTCCACTTCCGCACCTGCGTCGTAGCGACGGCTTCAACAGACTGAGAACGCCAGAACGAGCGGCGCTGGTCGGAAGAGCCGAAGAGGTGTCGAGCTTCGGTCGCTTCAGTACCTTGGTCTGTGGTTACACTTCGACAACGGTGACTTCGACAGCGTGATGTTTGATGCCGCCAAGGTGCCGCTTGCTCACCACTGGCGACGCTCGCTAGGCCGTTCGGCGCCGCATAGGTGTCGTGTGAAAAACGACATGATGAACACCGTTCGACAAATGTATCAAATAAGTTTGCTTTTCTTTTAAAAATATATCTCATCGCTTGCGTTTCGGGATGGGGTTCGCATATCGCATTTCCGTTTCGTTGCGCCTCTACGTGGCGTGAGCGCACGCCGGAGTCAATGAGGTAGGTCGGAGCCACCTTTGGTGGCTCACCATAGCCGCGTTCTGCATACTACAGGTATAGTGTCGTCACGAAACGAGCTTTCAAAGAAACTCACCAGGTGCACCTTAGAATATCTATTTCCATAAATCATACACTTTAGACAACTTTATTATTTCAAGTACCGTGTGCTGTAAATATCGTGTGCTGTAAATATCAAAACAATTTAGATTATGGTCTTCAGTTCAGCATCCCTTTAACAGCAGCATAGCTCCAGAAAGTGAAGCGGTGCTGTCCGCTCACGCGAGTGTTGCAGCCGGAACAAAACTTGGATACCCAATATCTACAAAAATATACACACTACCGAAAAACAAAGTATATCTTGCGATTCAGGGTCACCGACTTTGACTAAACGGATCATAACCCAAAAATTGCAAAAATTGGAGTGGAGTTGCCCTTTAAAGGGTAACTGCAAAGAAAAAAAGTGTAGTTTTAAACAGCCTAATTGGAACAAGCATGCCACAAAACAATTTTTCCACCAAAAGCAAAATTTTTTACAGCAATATTTATTGCGCGAGACTGATTTTAGTTTGCGGCTATTTCGGCCGTTTTATATCACGGGCCACAAATTTGGTATTACACGTCACGTAGTGAGTGCTAGACGTCATGGAGTGATGTGTAACAGCCACTGCGCGCGGGTTGAAAGAGCGCGAGTTTCAAATGTGGAGAAGTTGTGACTCCGACTAAATTACCTCCTGTGGCGTAAATATTGCTAAAAAAAATTTGCTTTTTCGCTGAAGATTTGTTTTGTGACATGCTTGTCCCATGTAGGCTGTTTAAAAAAAAACCCTTTTTTCCTTTGCAGCTACCCTTTCAGGAACGGATCAGGTGGTGTGGGTGCTCCAGGCAGAATTCTTGGGAAACCCATTTCTCGGGCTGGGGCAGCACTTATAGCTTCTAACGAGTGTATGTGTATCTATCCTCCGTTTCTATCCTCCGTATCTATCCAGGCGATTCTACTCTTCGTCCCAGCCAATCTAGCGCTAAGAGCATATCACTTGTCTCCCCGCTCCGCACGTCTTTGCACCCACCCACAAGCTCAAATGTCATGCTCTCAAAGCTAAATGGACTACTTCCATAAAGCCCTGCGTGCAACACGGCGCGCGTTGCACTCTGGGAATTAGTTGGCCAGGGAGGAGAGTGGCATGGTTTCGGTTTCGATCGACACGCCGACAAGAGGTCACATACAGAGCGTCTCATGCTTTCTAGTCCCGAGAGCGTCATCTGTGGTCTCTAAACTAACCTAAATGGCCAGACCTCGAAGCTTTAGCACAAGCCCGAGACGTGCAGCTTGTCTTAACACATGCTTGTTGTATTTTTGTACTTGAGCCTTTCTGTTAGCGTTTCGAGGTATGTGGACGAGCCAGTGCTGGGAATTTCGACGTTGCGAAGTTCGGGGATCTTGCTTGTGTGCGAATCAGCAAGGAGCAACCAATAAGTATGCATACATCGAGCTCGAGCCCTTACATTAGTATTGTTGGTCAGGAAGTTTGTTTCGTGCGTTCATAAACAAAATATAACTTTTTGCGATTACTGTTTTTCTTAAAGGGGCCCTGCAAGGCCTTTTGTACTGGTTTTTAATTTGCACCGATCCTGAGCGCACTGAACGTAGCAACTTAATGGAACTTTTCTTTTCTCAAAATTTGCATTACTTTAAAAGTTATAGGCAAATTAGAATTACAAAAACAAGCAAGAAAAAACCTCCTCCATGACGTAGTAGGTCCTGGCTTGAGTGGCCGTGAACTAGAGGAGGAGTAGTCAGCTCATCGAGCGATCACGGCTGCCGCACTCCGCGTCGACGGCTCCAGAGGGCGCCACTAAAGCACGTGTTGGATAGGCTGTATGAAGCGGGCGGCCGGGGCGGCTCGCATTGCATTTGCTGCGCGATTAAAGGCTAATTCGGCATAACAGTTCATTAGCCACAAACGACAGCAAACACGGCGTAAAGATCAGTTCAGAACGGGAGCCACTTCACGCTGCCATACCGCCAAACGGCCCAACCGCCAGCCAAGCCCGCGCCGAAAGCCTTCGGAAAGCTCGGAACCGGTCGGATCCTCGAGCCGGTATACGACCGCAGCGCCGCCGCGTACATCCGGGACCTTTCTACGCTGGCCTTTCGGCGGAGCCTCATCCCACTAGCACTTTCTAGTATGCGCCGTTTTTTCTGCCGCGTGGTGGCGGGTTTGCCGACGGGTCTTTTCTTGTTTCCGTACTTTATGAACTGCATTTGTTTCTTTTCTGATCTAAAACACTGAACAAAAACTACTTTAATACATAATTGAAACGGTTCGCGACACTTATATTTTGTATCTCGACTAAAGAAAAAGCTTTTAGCGGGTCTGACCAGTAGCAAGCCCAGGACCTAAAACGTCACATTTTGCGCGTTTTCGATACCGCGGGTCGCCCTCGTCGGCGGAGGAGGTTTCCGCGTCGTCCGGTTAAAATATGATGCGCTGCTATTTAATTACTCTCTCCGTGCCCCCTGGCTGGCCCGAACCCCAAGAGACGTGGAAACCGCAAAAAAGGTAGACGCTTAAATATGATTGCAGGGCCCCTTTAATACGCCTAAGTACGCGAGGTAAAACTTGGAGACGCCATTGAAAAGCTCCATTTGAACACACTTCTCATCTCTTATCTGTACTACCCCGCAGCACTGCACGAAGTGAAGTTTCCACCCGCTTGCATTCCACTAATATTCAACATCGCGTATGCGCATAACGTTATCCTGCAATCATATAGGCACATTCCCACATACAAACCGTTTTAAGAAAGCAAAAGTCGAGCACTTGTGTGAAGAATGTTGCACCGTTCGCCGGAAGTGCGCCGGACGGGCATGTACCCCTATGCGGTGTGCCAAACGAACGAAAATTATTCAAAGCGAATTTGACGGCTGCTAATGGCTATAACATTTGTTATATGTTTGCTTTCTTCCTCACTGAGTATGCCGAGATAATTTCAGGCACAGATCTTTGGCGTCAGTAAAAGCTCGTCCAAAAAGGCTTACCGAGGAGAGTGGACGCTTGTTAGGGCCTCCGTCGTAGCAAGCCGATCTCAGTGCTTGCGAAAACCTTCTATCAGCACAAACTTTGAGTGTGATATATAACTTTGAGTGCGAGATATGTGATGACACGGGGAAGACATCGTAGTAACTGTTGTGCAGTAATGAGGTCGAATTTATTGCGTTTCCTTAAAAGTTCATGTGCGCCAGCGCTGGGCTCAACTTTGATATCCTGTGAAGATGCGGCTTGCTTTTCGCCCAATGAAGTAACAAGAAGCGGACGTTTGGCAAACAAAATACGTGTGAGGCTCAACGTGACTAAATTTCAGTTGTAGTTCACTGGTACTAGACGTGATTACTAACATTGTGCTCAAATATGCACTCGAGGGGTGAGGTGACTAAGCCACGTCTTAACTATATGTTTGCATACGCACACACATTATTCGGTGCTTCGGGAACCAAGGAAAGTTCCCCGGTTTTCGTTTTGTATCGTCCGAGATTGAGTGTATTGCACATTCGTAAAAAGTCGGATAATCGAAAACGCAATCAGCGCGTTCGGTCGCGACGTGATAGCATGAGATGAACCTGCTCACTCGAAACTGAGTGGCCAACTAGGTATAGTTCCCAGAGTGCACTGCGTGGTATTTCGCCGCGATGGGGCGCGTCGGTTTTGGAGAAGTCTATTGGCTGGGACAAATTGTCAGTCGTCACCATACTGACCAGGGCCCCATCTCAAGGGAAAGTTGACTCCCGCTGTCTCTGTACTGGAACTGGGAGGATTCCTGCTAGACGCTGTGATGTCACTAACAGGAGGAACGCTATGCAAATGCCGCAGTAACGTCACGGCGCCTCACAGGAATCGTCCAAGTTCCGGTACGGGGACGATGGGGAAAATCCCTTTTAGTTTGAACTGGGCTTCACTAAATCAATGAGAGCCACTCATGCCCAACAAATCAGAGCAGCGGTTGATGCCAGGACTGCCTTTTACAGCTTTTACGGGCACACGTAAACAAACTGCAATAAATGCATCAAGGCCAAAATTGTCGCAACTGCTGAACACACCAGACGTGTTTAGAACCCTAAGAGCTGGTTGTTGAAATGTAGGTTAAGGCGAGTTATCCTGAGAAAGCTGTAGTTGCAGTTTCCACACCGAGACATCTTTGTAATATGTCGCCCTACTTTGTCATCCACATGTTATTCGGTGTTTCATGAAAATGCAAGAATGATAAAAATACAACACAAAATTTCCAAACATGTATCATTCTTAGTAATCTTGTAATGTAGCTCCAAAGTCGAGGAGTAAGGAACTCCTCTCACTAGATGGTAAAAACCAACCTCTAGGCCTCAACCCACCACAGTTTGTTGCTGGCTGTACAGGCTCTTGTTGTGAAGACTCTCGCTGTGCAGGCTCTTGCTGCGCAGGGCCTTGCTCTACAAGGTCTTGCTGATCTGCATAAAAAAAAAATGAAAGCCGTTTACAAATCCCTGTAAAGCCGAATTGGAGCGCAGCTCTTGAGGAGGAGTAGGGAAGGGTACTTAGGGGGGATCATGTGACCCTGAGGGGTGGTGGTCACGTGACCTCGGAGTGGTCACGTGACTTGACCTTGGGGGGGGGGGGGTTTGTCACGTGACCTTGGTTACGCCGATGGCGACGCTGCTCAAGCCAGGAACGGGCCCCTAAGAGCTGCACTCTAAAATTAAAGGAGCAGTGCAGCGATATTCAATCGGAATGTTTTTCACTTCACACGAGCTTACTGGCACTAGTGGGACTCCAGGATACTTGGACGCAACGCCGCTGACCAAGAAACACCTTTGTTGCGATGTAATTTCAAGGACAAAAGCGAGCGTTTTCATTCAATCTCTCCTTCGCAAACTTGATGACGTAGCTGGGTGGTCGCAGTACCTCCGAGTGACGATAGTCGAATGCGGCTCATAGATTGGATCCGAGCATTGCGTGGGCACTCGATTTGGGCTCGTGATAATCGATAACTCGAGAAGCATTTGGGTAGTGGACCGTGTCCAATCGCTGCAATGACGACAGTAGCCGAACCATAACAATGTCCGGAACTCGGCGCGTGTCCTATGCTTTGCCGATCCCAGCGCGTGGCTATGATCAACATTGGCGGCATATAATCGGGTCCAGATCACGTGGCCACCTGTTTTGGCTGTGAGTTGAGGGAGTGAACGCTGCTCATTTTCTTTAATTTTTTCTGCGACTTGAATTGCGTGTGGTGTAAAACGAACGGGTGTTTCACAGGTCATTAACGTCAGTGATTCCTTGTAAGCGGTATTCGCGCCAAGTACAAAAATCGTTGCATCGCCCCTGTAAAGGGAAGCTGAAACACTTCTTGAAAAAAACGAGTTAGGGGGGAATTCTAGCGTATTTTTATCCCGTGAATCTGAATATCACACTCGTTTTCCCCGAAGATGCAACTAGAAGTGAGAAAACGCGAAAAAACTCTGACCAGTCGCGACGTCATACTAGGATCTTTGGGCCGCCAAGTGCGTGCCGCTCGTGTGGGCAGCGCGTGCACTGACAAGCTTGCCAGGTGTATTTTTCCGCACTGACGGCAGTCATGACGTTTCTTTCCGACCTTTTTGAAAATAGCAAGAGTGCGCGTGCATAGCTTTCACAGGCGCTGGAGATGCGCGAGAGCAGAGATTCCGAAAATGTTTAGTGTGACGTCACGCCCCGAGAAGGAGGGGCTTCGGCCGTACTTTGAAAATTAATTTCTGAAGCCTCCGTGCACCAACTTGAAAAATAATCTCGATATTCCTGATCCTGGAGGTAGAATGAAGGCCATTGAAGTGTTTTTTCTCAAATACAGAACCGCTTCAGTTTCCCTTTAAATATAGCCACTCTATGGAAGTAACTAGAAACAAAAATGCCCCAGTGTAGCTGCGCATTACATACCAGTATCTAAGCTGTCATCAGCTGACACAGTTCCGTGGCTGCCACTTGTCATGTCAAATTCTCCTGAAACAAGATGACTGTTAGACTAAACAAACACCAAAAGAACATAGACCACCCATGTGGTCCTATGGGTTCAATATTGTCACAAATGAAGATGATCAGAGGAGGAACAGGGAACTAAAAATATCCCCCCATTAAAATTTTCCCTCCTTTTAAAAGTTCATCGTCCTGATGCAACGCGAAAGGAAAACAGGAATGGCTAAAAAATTTAAGCTGAAACGAAATAAACACGCAGTGTTACAATCCTAACGTGCGTAGAACAGCTTGAGTCAAACTATGTGGACGACTGCGGGTCATGGCTGGCGGCGTCCTGATGGTCGGATTCCGTCGGGAAGCACCTCATAGTTCAAGTCCCCAAGGTGACGAATGACCTTGTGGGGTCCAGAGTCGCGTTTTAACAGTTTCTCGCTGCGGCTGCGGCGGCGAATGGGCGTCCACACCCTGTCTCCGGGCTGGAACACAACTTCCCGGCGACAAAAGTTGTACCAGCCGGCGGCTAGCGTCGACACGCTGCTGGTCCTTTATGTGAAGGCGGGCTAGCTGGCGTACCTCTTCTGCTTGTTGGGTGACCAGCTGGGCGTCGTCGGTTCCGTCATCTGTCGGGTCATGGGGCACCATGGCGTCGAGCATCGTCGTCACCTTTCTGCCGTGCACCAGCTGAAGTAGTGTAATCCCAGTGGTCTCTTGAACCACCGTGTTGTATGCAAACGTGACATAGGGCAACAACCCATCCCGCGTCTTGAGTTCCACGTCCATGTACACCGAGATCATGTCGGCAATGGTTTTGTTTACTTGCTCCATCAGCCCGTTGGTCTGCCGTGGTCCGGCAATGATCGGTGAGGCTCAGGCAGAGTATCTCTTGTGCCAGTTGTGCCGTGAATGAGGAGCCTCTGTCCGTAATCCGGACTTGCGGAGCACCCTGTTGGAAGACGATAGAGTCAACGAAGAACTTGGCATACCTGGTGAGATGATCAGTTGCCACAATTACTCAACGGTTTCCCCTGCATCGACGGTGGGAAAGGTCCACGAAAAACCATTCCAATCTGCTGGAACGGTGCAGCCGGGGGCGCGATCCGTTGCAGCAGACCTGCCGGCTTCGTCGGGGGTCTCTTGCGTCGTTGGCATTCGCGACACCAACGGATGTAGAGGTGTACAGTCTTCGGGAGCTTGAGCCAGTAGTATTTTTCTCAGATCCGGGCAGGAGTCCTGCTGTAGCCAAGGTGACCAGATGTCGGGTTGTCGTGGCAGGCTTGGAAGACCTCTTCTCGAAGACTAGTAGGAATCACCAGGAGCCCCGTCGAGTTGCTGTCCCCAAAGCTTTCTTTGTAGAGAATAGCTCTTTAGACAGTGAATCTTGACAGGGCACGTGAGGAGGCTCGGGGAATTGTACCCGCTCGTCCCTCCATGTGGTCGATCAGTGCGCGCAGCTCAGGATCGTCTCGCTGGAGCGCTGCCATATCATGAATGCTCACTGCGCCAAGAAAGTGATCGTCATCGTCATCGTCTTTGGCACAGCCGTCAGCGGAGTCGACGGGAAAAGGCAGTCGGCGGCGCTGTGGTTTCGGCCGTAGCTTGGCGAGGAGCTTGCGGCGGTCGTCTGGCCATGGCAGCGTAGGTCAGCGACGGTTCCTTGGGGGTTGGCACGTCAACGGGTGCGTTTGGGCTGCAAGGCCCGGTATACCTCGTCGCGTACAATCTCAGCGACTGAGAGCGACCCTGGGCGCTATGCAGTGGGTAGCAGCTTTCAGAGCTCCTCTCGAACAATGTCCTGGATGATCTTGCGAAGCTCGTTGGCATTGGTGCTGAGTTTGGGGCGAACAAATGCCAGAGTTGACACGTGGTCGAGCCAATGATGGTGGCGGGCTCGGGCCGCTAGCGCCCGCTTAATGTTTGTTGCTTCGGTAATAAACCCGTCGACTGTTGTTGAAGGGTCGTGGATGAGGCCGCCGAAGATTTCACTTTTCGCACCTCTCATGAGGACACGCAGTATTTTCTCCTCGGTTGCTGGAGGGTCCGCTCAGGTACTGAGCCGCAGGACATCTTTAACAAAGCAAGTGTCGGTTTCGTTTGGTGCTTCAGTCGTCATTCATGATGCTGATTCATGAATGCGCGCTTCAGCCCGGTGACGCAGGCGTCCCACGACGTGAGCGAAGCCTCGTGGTTCTCGGGCCAGTGCCTCGCAGTACCCTCCAGTGAAAAGTAGAGGTTTTGAAGGTATAGCTTGGCAGTCCATCCGTTATAGCGTGCCACGCACTCGTAGTGTTGGACTCGGTACTCGACATCCTCGTGAATCTCGCCGTGGAAGGTCGTGGGCGTTTGAGGGGCAACGAGCAACTAAATGACGGGGACGGTGGCAGGGGTCATTGAAGATTGGTTGCTTATAGTTGGCTTCGTCGCCTGGTGGGTTTTCTCCGGCAGTAGACCAAATTCCGGGGGAAAACCTTGAACGACGGGGCTGCTTCCTTGGGTCTTGTTGGTGCCGTCGTTGGGTCTTCGTGGACTTGGCGTCGGACATGCACTGCGGGCCCTCAGAGGGGTACGCTGCAAAGTCATGCGTTACCTAGCACCTCCACCAGAAATGTCACAAATGAAAATGATGAGAGGAGGAACAGGGAACTCAAAATAAAGGCTTAATCATCGAACTTGTGCCAAACAAAATACAGAGCGAGCGTCGAGGCAGCGGAAAAGCGGACGATGGCAGGGGTCTGTTGCACTAAACAAGATGACTGTTAGACTAAACAAACACCAAAAGAACATAGACCCCCCCCCCCCCATGAGGTCCTATGGGTTCAATATTCTAAATGAGCTAAGCACACAAATACAGTCGTTCACACCCATCTCGGCAATTGCATCCTCGTGCCCGTACCTTCGTTCTCCGACGAGTCTTCGCTGCTGCAAGCTGAAAGTACAACAAAGAGACACATAAGTATATTCAGTCCAAGTACAGTAAAGCCTCCCAACTCAGATACTTTTCGTAGACCCTTGGGCAGTCCAACCTAAGCAATGCCCCAGATATATGTAGGGCTGTCCAAAAGTGAGCGCAAATTATCATGCATAACACATCCACCGTGGTGACTTTGAGCTTATGGTGCCGCTCCACCCAAACTGATCTAGCTCCATGAGCTAGATCGGTCTAGGTGGCTCGTAGCATTTACTGCACTCGAACTGAATGTAGGCCTGGACTCTTTTTTTGGTTTCGAAAGCGTGAATTCTGTTATTTCTACAATGGCTGATAAGGATTTTCTCCTGCCATCGAGAAAGGACATACGAGAGAGAAGAGGTGGGAGCTAGGTCTGTTTTTGATTTCTACGAGGCTGGTTCTCTCCTCGGAAATGGTTTCTATTGCTGCCATGTTGTCTGAATGGCACATATAGTATTTGTCTTTTCTGGAAGTGAGATAGATACTTTTAGGCCTTTGGGCATCACATAGGGGAAAATTTTTAGGATCAACACAACAGATGAAAAGGCAGATAGCTGCACTACAACCCTAAGAAAAACTAGAAAACAATACAAGTATTTGCTGGATCCAAAGTTGGCTTAGCAATTTAATAACAACGAAATAAATACAACATTTGCTTTTAGGTAGGCCGGAAGATGCTCAAAATTAACACAAAATATTGGAGAAAAAAAAAATACTAGTGATGGTTTTCAGTGTTTTCTCGGGTTTCACAATGTGTGCAGCAAGTGGTTTCGATACCCGTATTTATTGAGTAGAAATATCCCAGAATTCGCCTCGAATTTTGCGGCTATTCAGGTCCAACCTTTTTTGCAAGAACAAGACTATTTATAGGGAGCATACCTTCATCATTCGGTAGACTGACATCAACTCCTGGTTGTTGAACGGGAGCTGCATTTAGATCTGCAAAGTATAAAAGCATATAGTAACAAAAATTAGTCAATCAAAATATTGAGATGACAAAATAGGAACAGGAGGAGAAAACAAAGGTTAATCGATGCAGCCTGCCTCGGCTGGTTACTCTTAGCAGAGGAAAGATATGAGGAAATTGGAACAGGAACGAAGTGAAAGTAGAAGACATTATTAACTTGATAACTAAAACAAAGGTGGGATATGCTTCATTTTGCCTTGCATCCGAGTGCAGCAGATGCTATGAGCCGTCCCAGCCAATCTAGCATTGAGAAAGCGTCACATAATCTTGAGCTCCTCCCAACCAAAAAGTTACATGATACCCTCCCAAACCTGGTTTGACTGGGATGGCTCGTAGCGTTGCTGCAGTCGGACGGAGGGTGAAACGAAGTATAGCGGTTTCTAAGTTAGCTGGTTGATGATCTAACAAGCATATTCATCTTTAATCTGACTTCTGATGTAAATAACGAATATCCACAATGTAGCACTCAAACTGCTTTCCTCTGAGGAGAGACCGCTCGTGCCTCTGCATTACGCCATCTCGAGCTGGACGTTCGCAAAAGATTGATGGCACATGATCGGGGTGCGTGGACAGCTTTGCTGGTTTGCCTGCAAAAAAAGAAAGACAAATATTGTGCCAGGATATTTGATGGGGGCCTATAAATATGATGACAACAGAGCGACATACACAAATTAAATGGAAAAGACACCAACAATGCACAATAGCTTCCCTTTAATTTAATAGGGGGTACCATCCTAACTTGAAATATCAGTTTTGAAGTGTGTACGTGACATTTTTGTTTTGTTAGCATCTTCTGTTTGCAGAGCTCTGCAGGCACTAAAATATGTGCATAGCACAATAGGGGAGGCACTCGTCTCAAACCGTTATCCGATTTGTGCACGAACTGTAAAAACAAATGGCTTAACAAGTAAAACATGCTTGGTGGCAGATAGAAAGCTCATGACCCCTACCCGTCATCTCGCTCTGCCGATGCCGTGCAGAGTCACTATTTTAGCCAGCCTTCAGCTTAAAGAGCAGTGAGGCTTTAGTGTACAAGGTTGGTTGAGGGTTTAAACCACGCTTTTGCAGAAAGAAACCTTGCAGAACAAAGGCATGTTTCAAAGCAGAGCACAGGCCAGCTTGTGCTTGCCACCTCCAATGGCAAATTTAGGTGGCCAATTCCCAGCGAAATATTTCGAAAGACATTTAGCATGGGTGTTCACAAGGTCAAACGCTGGCAAGTGTGCTTCGTACGGGTGTCATTTAAATGCCGGAAGTTTTATGATCTTCGTACGGGTGTTATTCAAATGACGGAAGTTAAATGACTTATGACATTTAAATGCCGGCATTTAAATGTCACAAGTCATTTAAATGCCGCAAATTTGCTAGCCTGATTTTTACCAAAGCTCAAATAGGTTGTGCAGTTTATCAGCCCGACCATATTTAGTATTGTCGTATCTGAACAGGGGAAAAGACCGAAACGAAACACTGCGCCGATAATGGGCCCAAGTTTTAAATGGAGACATCGAGCCAGACAGCAATGCAGAAATGAAGCGAACTTTAGATTAGTCGGGGTTGGCCGACATTGTTAAATGCGGTAAATGAGAAATTTCAACTGCTAGCATGCACCACACAACAGCGACACACCGCTGCATGCCAATGCTGTGATGCTTGTTCAGATTGGAAGGGGGGGGGGGGGGGGGGGGGATCGAATTTAAAGTTCTTGGGAATAACACTGCAAGTTTCGCTATGTGTGCTCTCATCTGCAGTGCATTAGGTACTGGGCTCCCATTCCCAATCTCATGAGCCCGAGAGACTTGTAACCAACCATAAAAACACGACAAAATAAATATTGACGAGAATGAATTTTGCTTGAGACAACGAGGAGGTAATGAGAAATTATAAGTTACCAAAGGCGGCCAAATTTGTTGTACAAGAATGTCTAGCTTAAGCATCCTACTACCTAGCCTGAAAATAATATTTGTGGTAAGTGATCGGGCTCGGCACTCTGACATGAAAAAATGACGATCAGAGGAAAAAGACTAAATAGAAAAGCAAAGGTTGACCCTAGCTGACAAGCCCTCTTGAAAAGCCGAATGAAATTTTAACAGTCCCCCGGAAACGCGAATAAAACGCATCCAAATTTGATGCCTTTCTCGAGGACGCTATGCGAATTTCGTAACCTGTACTCTCTTGTAATCTGTGTGGGCTTCGATGACGCCAATATTTATTTCTGCATCTCAGATGTGGGGTCATACACCCGACTGAACGAAGCTCATGCGTGACCCAGGCGGTCCAGGCAAACGCGGGCAACCGTAAACACCAGCGCCGGCGCGGTGTTTGGATATGGACATGTCGCTGCCGGAGCATTTTTGTACGTCTGAAGCGCCAGCAAATGCTCGCCGACCCTTCACGACCCGAGTCCATCATAAGCACGAAGGGTGATCAAGAGCTTTGCGCTTTTAGCACACGAGTGAAAAGCTGCCAGTGTTAACATACATACCTGTGTGGAAGTGCTTGCTGCATATCCGAGCATTACTCGTCGGCTGCCAGGCCGAGCCGCCGGGGTTCACGCGACGAACAGCCGCGATCCACATCTTTCGTTGACGGATGTGAAACTTGGGCGATGGGAAGCGAAAAAACCGCGTGCCATTCTCTTTTTCTCGTCGGTTTGAGCAGCCGACTGCAGAGCAAGTGTTTGGCATCGCTACACGGCGTTCATCGAACGCAGGAAAGCTGTCACTCTGCTGCCACTTCGCTGGGCTGCCGTAGACAGTGATGCTGGACGGCAGAAACACAACAATCCGGCCGCACAGCGTCGGCACAGAGCAGGAACACGCGATGAACACGATCCACGATCACAACACGGTTGACATGGTTTTCCGCGGCGTTGGCGTCGGTGCCCTCCAATAATGGCGACGGCGGAACCGACCCCCTGGTAGCGAGAGTTCGCGCATGCGCAGAGTGCTACTGGAAAAAGGTCCATTGCGCGGGTGCCTTACCGAAACCGCTAGCCTTGTACCTGCTCCACGAGTGGTAACTTTAGTGCACTACGCTTCTCACGCGCTGAAAGTCTTTCTGAAAATGACGGATTTAGAGATTTCGGACAACGCTCAGCAAGTTTCCAATTCGAACATATCTCTATTTTCACCAATCAAAAATGAATTAGTCAATTTTAATTAATTAGTCGACTTATCGCAAAGATTAGCGTCCACATAATGTCCCCCTGGGCGTCTAACTCACTCGCACAAACCGCATAAGTGTAGCTTTCATGGCTTTTTTTAAAAACAAATGTGCAAGAATAAAAAAAAACACCCTGTATATAAAGGTTGCGCTATCTGAATGGGGAATATCTGGCCTTATATGGGAGGCAGATATACCCCTATTTGGCTGACTCAGATATGAATATATAAAAAATTGTGCATATCTGCCTAGATATGCACAATTTTATATAAATTGATGTGCTTGATATCGGCTAGATATGCCCATTGTTTTATATAATCATATTTGCTTTTTTTTCTATATGAGTCCAGATATGCCATTTTCATAAGGGTGTTGTCTGTTTTTCTTCAATGTTCCTCTTTCGTTATGGTACATTTGAAGTTTTAGGCAATGATCTTTTTGATTCCTTTCCTCGGTTCATACTCGGCTATCGTAGGATACTTGCCGCTAGCGAACATTCCACTTGATACACAAAACTGCCTATTTACTACAAGCCACTGCTGAAGCCATCACCCTCTTTATTTTAAATAACATCGTACTCCGCAGTGGTGCCCATGTAGCTCTAGCGAGCGATCACGGACAATGATTCATGACATGGACACTTGAAGTTTTGTTACGAGCTTGCAATATCAACCAGCGAATGACCTCCCCTACCATCGCCAAACAAATGGGCTTACGGAGACATTTTATACACACGCACGCAAGCTTTATTTCCATGTATGTCTCCAACAGCCATTCCGATTGCTACACTATCCTTCTATTCGTGACCTTTGCTTACAACACGACACTACAATTCATCACTCGAATCTTCACATTTCATTTATTTTACGGCCGTTAACCGTCTACCACGATTGATGCTGACCTGCCTTACCAGAGTGAAGTTCTCAAGAGTGGCTCCCCTTCCCATGCGCCTATTGTACAGACGTTGCCGTCAACTTGCCCTAGCACGTACAGCTCAGCACCAAAAACAATCCAAAACCACTACGACGATAGACACCAAGATGGGCCCCGCAACCCAAGTGACATTCTCTTTTACATGTTTCCCCAATCGCATGGCCAGATGCTGCAATCAATTCCTTCATTAATACCAAAGACGTTTTTGGATCATTTACCAGACATCTCCCGTCAATCACCTCGTAAAGCCTACGCCACTAACAACCGATCGTCTGTCTCATGGTCGGAGCAACGTTCATGTTAACCGCCTGATGCTCTTCCACCCTTCGGGAAAAGCTCACTCTTCCAATGATCATCCGCACTAGGCCAGGACGGTCTTCTCTTGGAGGGGGACATATGTGACAAGCAGCATTGCGCACCCAGCGCAGCCAGCGGCGGCGCCAGTGCCTCGGGGATTGGCGAGCGTCGGTGGAGCGAGGAGGCTTGCCCCCAGAAGAGACTGGCCGTTGCTGGACACTAACACGTCTCCGTATGCTCTTTTGCTTAGCCCTAAAACACCCTGACAATATTATTTCTTTAAAGAAAAATTTTCTTGCGCTTTATTTTTTTAGCTTCCACTGGCTTTTGAATCTGTTATTACTTTAGGAACGGGCGTGTAGATTGAGTGCCGGCATTGAACCTGAGCTTTGCCATTTTGTGTGTGTCTTTTTTTTTATGGAGAGTGCCAGAACAGAGGCCGACATTTTTTTTCCTGGACACTATAATTAACACCGAAATATTGATTAATTAATATTATTAGCATAATTATTAATATAAAGTATTTAATATGCGATCAGGTGCGATGTTCTGAACATGACAAATGTTCATGAAGCTACCGAGACCAGGGTGTCGAACCGGAACCGAACCGAACCGAAAACCGGAACAGAACCGTTATTTTTAGCCGAACCGGAACTGAACCGAACCGAAATCTTCGCCGCCATCTTGGAACTGAACCGGAAAAAAATATAACGGTAACCGGTTCAAAACGGTTCACGGTATTTTTTTTTGTTAGTATTACAAATTTATTATTTGGGAATAAAAAAATTGGCACGTGTATTCCTCCAGGTATTGATCAAATCGTCATATACAGAATTGCAATGTATAATAAATCCTGGTTTTTTGCGGCGCTTTCTTATTGGCACTATGATTAGCCATGTGTCACATCGTCACGTGACGTCATGATGTCAAGACATGCTGTCAAGTAATGTCATATCACGTGACCCCGTGACGTCACCTGACTCACCGCGTTAAGTCGATTCAAATGGAGGACGTCGCTAGATCTATTAAGGTTGTTGATACCGTGACGTAACATGACATCACAACTTCGCACTGAGAGTCACGTGACACCGTGATTTACCCGATTGTCATGATCCCGAGTTGAATGCTCTGGTTCATGACAACCAGCATCGCCAAACATTCGGGTAACGGCTCGTGTTCAACTCAAAGATTATGATGGGCCCGAGTCCCACTAGAGCCAGAAACAGAAACAAACGACAGCGACAAGCCTCACACACGTGCAGCATGTTCGCGATGGTACCTTTATACGGCTTTGAGTTGTTCGGTGCTCGCGAAGTTAGCACGAGCGTTTACAAGCCTGCAAATGGTACCATCGTGTGCATGATACTCGTGTTTCAGCGTAGCCTTCTTTATTCTACAAAGCCTGTCAAATCGTGAAATACTCTGGTTTAAGGCTAGCCGCTGTCGTTTGTTTCTGTTTGTCGCTTTAGTGGGGCTCGGGCATTATAGCCCAACTAAAACTATATCTGAAGATCAGCCCATGCTCTCTGCTTTGCCAACCCTGCGTATGACTATGATAAACACTGACGGTGTATATATTAGGATCATATCACGTGGCTGATAGTTCTAATTGCGAGTTGAGGAGGGGAAAACTGTTTCATTTCTTTCTTTCAACTGTCTGCCATATCGCGGAGGGGCAAACTAATGGATGCTTTTGCAAGTTATCAACGTCAGGGATTACCTCTTAGCGGTATTTATTGAACTTAAGGTAAAAAAAAAAATGCTGCACGACCCATTTTACATGTATGCACACTATTGAGGCTCCCAAACATGTTTTCGTTATTGCTGAACTGCCTCAGAAAGTTGTCCCGAGAATAGAAGTGTTAAAGGGTCTAAATGTGACGTATTAGTCATACGTTACATGGAACTATTACTGTGTACGGGAGGGATACCTGAAAAGAAAGATCCTAGTGGCCTCACGGGGACAGCCGAACGTTGGCAGCCGCTCTAAGTCTCACAGGAGTGTCGTTCTCAAGTTCTCCAAGTTTCAACCGCCCTGTATTTTGTTTAACCTTCACAGTTTGATACGAAGTAAAAGCAAGGAAGAATTACTGTTAACAAGTGACACAAATATAATTGTCGAGTGAACACCACTCAATACGCAGCAGGCAATCCCTGAGGAATAAAAAGTATCTTGAGGAGCAACTAAAAAAAAAAAGGGAGTGGGGAGGGGGATAGTTTTAAAGCCATAAAGATTCCTCTGCCCAGCATTTTCGGCGCAGACTATAAAGCGTGGCCTGGAAACGATAGTGACAGATGGTAGTTGGTACAACTTTTATTTGTAAAAACGCTCTTGGCAGAAAGCACGTTTTCGTCGTGCCAGATACTCGCGCCGTGCCTAACGACGATGCACCAACCAGAAAAATGTGTGCCTCTCAAATACGGGTCCATATCGCATGAGCGAATGACGTTTTAGCGAACAGCGACGTTTGAGCGAATGGACGTTTTAGCGAATAACGGGGGCGCGCGTTAACCCATCCGCCGCGCTGCGCTTTACGCCGCTTCGCGGCGACAGTCTGCGGCGGCTCATTACAAAAATGTGAACCCATTTGGCCCACCCAAAAACGCCGCTTCGCGGCGTCCGACTATTCGCTGAAGTGTCATTCGGTGAAACGTGGGCGTTCGCTCAAACGTCATTCGATCAAGTGAATGCCTCCCCTCAAATACATAGCTTGCACTGAGCGCGAAACTTTTGCAGCGTGCATTTTGCCCCACCGGATTTGATTTTCTCAGCAAGAACAACTCGCAATGACAACCAGTATCTAGTGCGATTACGTCACGTGCAAACCATGCTAAATACTTCAGCTTTCTGGTGAAATGCGACGTTCACAACACTATCAGTAGACGTCCAAGGTGTAAAGTTGTGTAGTATTTATAGCAGTCTCGCGATGATATACGGCAGCCTAATGAAATGTTGGAGCACATGACTGATAAAGAACAGAGTCGTGAAGTAAGGTCCCAAAACAAGTGCGCGTAAAACCTAAGATGACATTAGCCTCCCGAGGTAGTATCTCGCGACGTTTCGAGCAGAGACAAGCTGATGCCCAAAAGTGATTTCTATTAAGATTCAAAAAATCTTCGTTTGCCCTGCGCGGAATCTATGTTTGATTAGGAATATCATTTTATGCATTTCTATGCATTTCTTTTTGCAGTAAAGCGTTGTGCAAGGGATTATTTAGAAAATATTGCGCGTCATCTCCTTATTTCTGCACATTTTGTGTATTCGGCTTCCGATATATCATGTGACCACAGTGTTTTTTGGCATACCCTGCAACCCAGTATTTTACACTGCAAAACAGCTAACAAAAGCACGTTGCCGAAGACTCAGCAGCCGACGTATTTTCGAGTATCGTCCTTCCGTGTCGGTTTCAGGCGGTTATGTGAACTTCATAAAGTCAAATTTATCGATGATAATAAAAATATACTTAATTCCTGTCTGAAGATTTGGCGGCATAAATAGAAGATCCTCACCTCAAAGATATATA